AAAAAAAAAAAGTAAAATGTTAGGAAAATCTATTTTATTGCATATTTTACTTATTTAAAGCGCATTTTATGAATTTTGCGTGAATATTATATGCGCATATTTTAGATTTTTTAGTGCATGAGATTCCGAGCCCTAGTCATAACTAATAAAAAATAAAATTCACTCTTTGATCGATTATGATGCACTTGATCGAATTATAAGTCACCACATCGTTTTATGCAATAAAAATTTTAGTTAGTTTTAGCTTTTTGCATTTCAGCGACGATGTGAGATACGACCATTCCATACTATAGTAACGATATATACATATGTATATACTAACCTACCGGCCTCGTCGAATTGAAGGCATACATTTTCGTTTAATGCCTCGGCAAACATCAGTAACGCTCTGAATTCCTTTAAGCAAAATGTAATTGACGTTTCTTTATCTATCATGTAATTCTCGAACTCATCCGCACTTCATGAAAAGGCAAACATTTAATAGCAGCGAATTATTTGAAGTTAGCAAATGTCTGTATTTACTTTAATTGCAATTGTGATCGCATAAATTTCTCATTAACTCTTGAACCCTCAACATAATTTTTGATACTGATTTTTTTATCTTCGGCTTCTAAAGTGATCTCTTCTTCTGCAGGATTAAAGTTATTTGATATTTCCGTGAATATCCTATGGGAACCACAAATACTAAAATAAGAAGTAATCAAGATTATTTTAATAAGTTAAAATTATTTAATTAACTTACGTGTTACATGTACTATCGGGTGTCATTTCTGCAGTTACATTCTCTTCGTCATCTACTGATATAAAAGTATTCTTCGTTGTTTCGTGTTGGCATTTTAACTGAATCTGAAATTTCGCTTTATCCAGTATATACGCCATATCACAACGCTCTACCTGGAATTAAAATTATAGGCGCATATTCAAGTCATATTCACATACTTCAAAATTAAATCGTAAACTCTTTCATAGCCAATTGAGTTTCTACTTAAATGTATATCTCAAGGCGAATTAATATAAGGTGATAGCAGGAGTACAAAAACAAAAATTTACATGTATTTTGTTTTTGCTTTAGCGGCATAAACTGTCAAAATCTGTAAGAGTGTGTGCAAGGCGAATTTATATAAGGTGGTGTTACTAGCTCAGCTGATTTTGTGTGTGTTTCGCTGCACGGCTTCTGATATCGAATTGAAATTTTTTTTTGAATTTCTACACACACGTACACGTACGTTTTGACAGTTTATGCCGCCAAAGCAAAAACAAAACACATGTAAATTTTTGTTTTTGTACTCCTGCTATCACCTTATATTAATTCGCCTTGAGTGTGTGTAGAAATTCAAACAAAATTTTTCAATTTCATATCAGAAGCCGTGCGGCGAAACACATATACAAAATCAGCTGAGCTAGTTACACCACCTTATATTAATTCGCCTTGGTATATCTGTTAAGTTGCGAAATCTCAGTTAATTTCCTGTCATATTTGATCGTCATCTATTGACTTTTAACCGACTTCAAAAAAGGAGGTGGTTATCAATTCGTCGGAATATTTTTTTATGTATGTTACCGCATAACTTTGGACCGTGTTAACCGAATTTCATGAAGAAATTAACGGTATTCTTAAATTTTTATATGAGAATTGAAGTCGGTTTTGTTGTTTGCTTAAATATTAGATGTTATTTTCTCAAATCGTTTTTTATGAGTAAAAAGTATAAGCAGAATCAAATCGCTTAGCTTCGCCGGAAAAAAATTCGGTGTCAAAATTAACAGTTGTATTCTAACAAAAACTATGTTCACATTACAGCATAAATTACTTTGTTTCGATCAAATTACTTCACATAAATCAAGTACGTTCAGACGTTCTTTCATAATTTCTATATGTAGATATTTGATCAAGGTGCATTCAAAACAGGTAAAAGCCAATTTCACGTCAAACTATCAAACGTCAAAATTTTCTGGAGTAAAAATGAGAACGAGCATGTGAAATGAACAAGAAAAAATCAGATTTCACTGGCTGACCTTTTTAAGTATATTTTTATGCCCGAGAACACTTGTGCACAGGGTATTATAACTTTGTTCGCATAACGGTTGTTTGTAACAACCTAAAGGAATCGAGATAGATATAGGGAAATGTATACATAAATGATCAGAATGACAAGAGAAGTCGATTAAGCCATGTCTGTCTGTCCGTCCGTCCGTCTGTCCGTGTACACGATAACTCGAGCAAAAATTGAAATATCTCAACGAAATTTGGTATATAGGTTGACCTTTATCCAAGGTAGGTTGCTATTGAAAATGGGCGAAATCGGACTGTAGCCACGTCCCCTTCTCATATAACGGTATTTTCGAAAACTATGATATTTCAGTAAATATTGGATCCAAATTGTTCAAAATCAGTGTGTGAAATAGAATTTTGGTGCAAAATAATATTATTAAAATTTTTGGAAAAGGGGCGTTACCCCGCCCACTTATGAAGAAATACTTCATCTTTGTAGCCGCTTCACCATTTATTACCCAACTCGGTATGAGCCTTGCTTAGGATCCAGCTAGGAAATTTGTTGAAATCGGATAATAACCACGCCCATCTACCATATAACGGGAATTTAGAGAAACACAAAAACTGCGATAGGTCAGTAACTACTGAAGCTAACTGACTGAAAATCAATTATTGCAATGACCACTGAGCAGAAAATTAGATTATTACACATTTTTGGATTTTGGGCGTGGCTCCGACCACTTATGACCAAAAATGTGTATCTCGGTAACCGATTTATCAATTTCTACCAAACTCGGTGCATTTAATAACCTTGGTACGAAAAAGCAATTCATTGAAAATTATTCAAATCGGACTAAAATTGCACCGGCTTCCCGTATAACGGTAATTTGCGGATATAGGAAAGCTGCGATATTTCCATAACTGAGGACGATCATTTACTCCAAGTTAATACTTACAACAATGTTTTAACAATAAATAAGACTGTTATAGACTTTAAGGTAGTTTAAAGAAATTGGGAACGACGATAATTGATACCTGCGCCGGGTATATAAAATTCGGTTTCGCCCGAACTTATACTTCTTTACTTTTTATTTATTTATTTTGTTTAATGTAAATTTGTTTAACGTTTATTAAGCTATCACAACTTGTTGCAGTGTTGTTAGAGGGCCTTGTCAGCATAAGGGTCATAGGAATACCGCTTAGCATCAAATGTGCTTTTACTGGACCTCCCGGTGCATTAAGGCCTTAGGCTCTACGCCGCAGCTACTTTCCCAACGCTTTTACTGCGGAAAACATAGAGGCAGTTATGAAAATCAGTGGTGTGTGCACTTTAAGTATTTAGCACCACATAATTAATTATTACACCACCCATATTGGTATAAACCGCACAAAACTGCTAAAATTCAAAATTAAAATTTGCCATTAACGAACATTCAAAATAAAACGACATGACATTTCCAAGAGTAGCGAAATATGGGAAATAAAAATAAATCAAGTTTATGTTTAAAGGTTTGGCTCTCATGGGAGCAACGTCAAAATGGCTTCTACCTATTTTTATATACCTTGTATTTGATTAGCACGTGTACGTACGAGTGTGTGGTTTGTACTTGATTAAAAAAACAAGTAAGAAAGTCTAAGTTCGGGCGGAGCCGAACATTAAATACCCGGCGCAGGTATTAAATATATGTTTTTCACCTTTCCGAAAGCTACCGCTACATGGTGGTGTATAAATTTTGAGTAAATTAGCGTCCTTAAATTTCGAAATATTCAAGTTTCAAGAATTTGTAAACAGTAAACAGTACCAAATAAAGCAACCCTGTACTGTAGAAAAGTGTGAAGTTGGTATTGGCGAAGGACAACCAACTTCACTCTTTTCCGAACTGCTGAACCTCGTGAAGCAAGAAAGAAACATAAAGCATTTTTATAAAGTTTATCTTGATATATCTTGAATAAAGACGAAGAGTTTAAAGCATCAGGTGTGGGGACGATTACGCACAACTATTAAGCGAGGCGGGTATCCAATTCCCGGCTACCGCCAAGTTGTCGCAGCTGAAACGTATGGCGATTAACATGGTGGGAGCATCTGACACGGTGAACATACGCGGTGTTCCGTGTGATTTTCTTTCACAGCAAACAAATACAAGCGCCGACATGGCTAGTGTGGGTGACTGTGCTGATGAAGTGGCGATTGTAGGTGCCCCTGCCGGAGCTGCGCATTATGGTAAGCAAAATGTTTATCCATCTGCCGATAAAATTAATTCCGCCGGCAATGAGGCCTCTGCTGAGGGTGCCGCTGCCACCACCCCTGCCGTAGCCACTACAACCGCCATTGACGCTACTACTGCCGTTGCTAATGGAGCTACCACTGCTGTTGCCGATACTGTTGCCAGCGCCACCGCCGTTGCCGATATTGTTGCCAGTGCCACTGCCGTTTCCGATACAGTTGTCAGTGCCACTGCCGTTGGCGATACTGTTGCCAGTGCCACTGCCGTTGCGAATACTGTTGCCAAGACCACTGCCGTTGCCGATGCTGTCGACGTTGCCGGTAATGTTGCTGCCACCAATGCCACCGCCCTTCCTGCAGTCAAAACAGCTAGCATCGCCAACTCCACTTCTATTGCTGTTCCCGCTACAGCAAGTATTGACGAGGAATTGTCTTCACTGCATAAGAATCTGGAAATAATGATGTTAAAACAACGCATTTTCGAATTGGAGAAAGGCTCAGCAGCTCCAGTGTGTAATGCTGGCAACAAAAACAGTTACTGTGATGTCGAACATGCATTAACAAAGTTCAGTGGAGATGACATTGCATACTCAGTGCGATATTTTTTACGAGATTTTGAAGAAGTGATGAACCCAATTAATGCTGATGAACGATTCCGATTTTTATGCCTGCGGCGGTCTCTTACCGGCACTGCACGTGTGTTTTTGTCCACGACAGCCGCATTCACGTACGATCAGCTACGCAAGATGTTTACTAGTGGTTAGACCAACGGCTTTGGCAGAAGAAGACCGAGTCACTCCACTGCTACATTCTCAACATGCAGGCCATCGCCAAAAGATCTGACATAACCGAAACTGAAGTCATCGACTTCATAGTTGAAGGCCTAGGAGATAATATCTCTAACAAAAATCTCCTTATGGGCGCACGCACAATTGAAGAGTTGAAGATGCTAATGGCCAGATACCAGCAGAAGTACTTACGTCGCGAGAGTAACACAATCAAAAGGCCGACAAAGGAATCAATAAGGACTACGAAGGAAGTTGCCCACTGTTTCAATTGTTCGCAAACAGGGCATATAAAACCCAATTGCCCGTACCCGCTCAGACCAAACGGTTCCTGTTTTCGCTGTTGGCAGATGGGTCATGAGCANGCAGAGGTTGAATCCGGTGAAGACGACGAAGACGTAGGCGCTTACAATTTTGTGAATATTAAGTTTAGTGATTGTAAGAAGCAGGTATTTAATAAGTATATTTCTCTTTTTGATACGGGTAGTCCCGTTAGTCTGTTACGAGAATCTGATATTCCGAGAGAATTTATTAAAGGAAACAAACAACCCAAAATATCAAAATACGTTGGTGTATGTATGTTCATGCCAGTAATTCTAGGAAGAGATTAACAAAAGTAAAGCTGAGATATGTTAAAGAAGAACTAATGTGTATTAGAGAAAAAATTAATTATTTTGTACCCCAAAGAAACGCACTTGCGAACCTCAGCAGATGCGATCTTTTAAAATCATATGACGAAAATAGAAAACTCAATTCCGATCCTTTGGTAACGCATGCCAGTAATGATATATTTTGCATTAATATAGAATCTTTCGCGTTAGAACCAGATATAAATCCTAAATTGAATAGGGAACAATTGGTAGCCTTGAACAATATAATTAGGGAATCTTACCTAGAGCCAAAAGAAACTGCAATCGAGCCGCTTGATTATGAGATGAAAATCCATCTAACCACCGAAATACCATTTTATTGCACTCCACGACGACTGTCTTACTCAGAAAAATCCGAAGTACAGAATAAAATTGACGAATTACTGAAGGAAGGAATCATTAGGCCCAGTAATTCGCCATATGCTTCTGCCGTAGTACTAGTCAAAAGAAAAGGAGAGATGCGCTGTATTTCAAAGATTTTTTAACACAATTTTTATAGACTTAATTGATTTATACTGTGAATTGATTCAAAGCAAATAATAATTTACATGGATGGCATTATTATAGCTTCGCAAGGTTTTGATGATCACAAATTGTTGTTAGACGATGTGCTTAGACGCCTTTCCAAAAGAGGACTCAAACTGAATCTTACTAAATGTAAGTTCGGTTACAGTGAAATTGAGTATTTAGGATATTCAGTTAGCTCCAAAGGTATCTCGCTAAGTGATTCGCACATAAGCACTATTAAACGTTATCCTGTTCCTAAAAGCCAAAAAGAGTTACACTCTTGCATTGGATTATTTTCATTTTTTCGACGATTCGTACCGTCATTCTCACGGATTGTAAAACCATTACAACAGTTGTTGAAGAAAAATTCGACTTTTGATTTTGATGAACAGTGTATTGCCGCGTTTGAAGAATTAAAAACCAAACTCACCGAAAGTCCAGTGCTAGCAATTTATAATCCATTGAGAGAAACAGAATTGCATTGTGATGCCAGTTCGACCGGTTTTGGGGCCGTTTTGCTACAGCGTCAGGACGATGGTAAATTTCATCCAATTTCGTACTTTTCGAAAACAACGTCAAGCGCGGAAAGTAGGTATCATAGTTTCGAGCTCGAAACATTGGCAATCATTTATGCTCTGAAAAGATTTAGAGTATATCTGGAAGGAATTCCATTTAAGATCGTTACGGATTGTAACTCGCTTGCTATGACTTTGGGAAGAAAGCAGGTAAACGCACGAATAGCCAGATGGGCTCTGGAACTAGAAAATTTCAACTACATCATTCAACATAGAAAGGGGTCATCAATGGGTCATGTTGACGCGTTAAGCAGATGTCAAATTGCTAACGTAGATATTAATGAAGCCGAGTTTCATATACAATTAGCTCAAGAACGTGACGATTTGATAACAGATTTAAAAGAACGTATGGAAAAGGAAGAAGTAAAGGACTTTAGATTATCAGACGGACTAGTTTATAAAGTAAAGGGAGATGGGAAAACCATGTTATATGTGCCTAGAGAAATGGAAGATAATATTATAAGACTAATGCATGAGAAAATAGGACATCAGTCTGTTGACAAAACTTTGACGAAAATTTGTTTGTACTATTGGTTTCCGAAAATGAAGCTGAAAGTTGAGAAGTTCGTTCAAAACTGTCTGAAGTGCATCATGTATGCAATGCCAGTTCGGGCAAATGAAAGGAATTTCTATAATATACCTAAAAGGCCAGTGCCGTTTGATACAATTCATATTGACCATTTTGGTCCGCTGCCGACAATATAGTCTAAGCGTAAACATATATTGGTCGTAATCGATTCCTTCACGAAGTTCGTAAAACTTTATCACACTAATTCTACAAGCACTCGGGAGGTTAATGCAGCATTAGATAAATACCGTAGCTATTATAGTAGGCCGAGGAGAATTATAAGCGATAGAGGGACTTGTTTTACGTCACTAGAATTCGAGAACTTTTTGATAAAAAGAAATATAATTCATGTAAAAACGGCAGTTGCTTCCCCACAAGCTAATGGACAGGTAGAACGTGTAAATAGGGTCTTAAAAACAATGTTGGGAAAGCTTACCGAACCAATCAATCATGCGGATTGGTCAAGTAAACTTCTTCAAGTGGAATATGCCATCAACAATTCAATTCACAGTACTACGGGAAGTTCCCCAAGCAAACTCTTATTTGGGGTCGAGCAGAGAGGCGAGATAATAGATGAGTTTACGGAGTACATAGAGGATAAAGTAAATCAAAACGTTCCAAGAGATTTAGAGCAAATTAGATTGAGCGCGTCCGAAGCTATTGAAAAGAAGCAAGAGTACAATTTAAGTCATTTCCTGAAGAATAGTGTGAAGGCGAAGGAGTATAAAGTAGGTGACTTTGTTGTTATACGAAATGTAGATACAGTAGTGGGAACAAACAAGAAATTCGTCCCTAAATACAAAGGACCCTATGTAGTGTTTAAGGTTTTAGGAAATGACAGGTATGTCATAAGAGACGTGGACAATTGCCAGCTAACTCAGCTGCCGTATAATGGCGTTATTGAAGCGAATAGAATGCGAAAGTGGGTCGATAAAAACGTTGAAAAGGTCGCTTCTGCTGATGAGTCGAACGGATAATAATAGGCTATAAACTTACACTGTAACATAGTACGTAGCAGTTAAGCGTTAGAATTTAAGATGAATTGTACAGTATAGTAATTATACATTGAACACTGTAACGTACAGCATGTAAATATTAGTACCTAAGGCAGTCTAAACATAAATGTAATATAAAGTTTGATGACCGAGGTCGGTCATAGTCAGGTGGGCCGAGTTGTAAACAGTACCAAATAAAGCAACCCTGTACTGTAGAAAAGTGTGAAGTTGGTATTGGCGAAAGGCAACCAACTTCACTCTTTTCCGAACTGCTGAACCTCGTGAAGCAAGAAAGAAAAATAAAGCATTTTTATAAAGTTTATCTTGATATATCTTGTATAAAGACGAAGAGTTTAAAAATTTCTGAAATTTTAGTCAGATTTCAATAATTTTCAACGTTTTGCTTTCATGTGGCAAGCACAATAACCATACCGAGTTTGGTACAAATAGGTAGAACAGTTACCGAGATACATATATGTGATCATTTTATAAAATTTTATCGTAAACGTATTTCTTGGTAAGTAATGGTTGCAAGCATCATTTTTGAATAAATTAGCTTTAATATTTACTGATTTATGGAAGAGATCGTATTTCTCCAAATTACCGTTATATGGGATGTGGGCGTGGTTATTGTCCGATTTAAACAAATTTTGGCCATTTGGTATGCTATAGCAAGGCTAACAACTGTGCCAAGTTTGGAAGAAATTGGTGCAGCGGTTACCAAGATATACACATGTAACCATATGTGGGCGTGGCTACGCCCNAGAAATTGGTGCAGCGGTTACCAAGATATACACATGTAACCATAAGTGGGCGTGGCTACGCCCATTTTTCAAAAAATTATAATATTCTTATTTTTCGTCTAAAAATTATTGTAAATATAAATTTTGAGTCAATAATCTTCAGTAATTACTAAAATATCGCAGTTTTCGTATTTCTGAAATGACGGTAATGGGAGGTAGGCGTGGTTATTGTCCGATTTTGCCCATTTTCATTTGATTTGCCGTCCTAGGCCCGAAAGAAGTGCACGTACAAAGTTTCGTTAAGATATCTCAATTTTTACTCGAGTTATCGTGTGCACGGACGGACGGACAGACAGTCACCGCTTAATCGATTTCTCTTCTCATTCTGATCATTTATGTATACATTTGTCTATATCTATCTCGATTCGTTTTGCCTGTTACAAACAACCGTTATGTGAACAAAGTTATAATACCCTTGTGCACAAGAGCGCTCGGGTATAAAAATTGGTTGCATACCTTTCGAAATTACATACTTGATTTCAGCATGGTTTGCTTATAAATTACGTTAATGTGAACATGCTTAAAGTCACAACACTTAGCTCATCACTGTTGTGATTTCTACTGCGCCTCAAAGTTTGCCGCTGTAGGTGAAACTTTATATTTTAAATAAAAATTAATTTATTTTCCTCCGAAAAAAAGTATTCTTCGGTTTAACCATAATAAGAAATAGGAAGGTAGAACCATCGTACAGTTCCATAAGTAAAGTAATGGCGTCTTCGTTTCTACAAAAAATGTTGCCTTCTCATCGCCCTCTTTTTAGTGTTTGTGCGTAGAGGTCCAATAGAAAGTTGCATTTTTCGGTAGAAAGGAAATCGGCATTACTCTTCTACTTACAGATTTTCCTGGCAGGCTGTAGGTGTGTTTTTGGTTAGTGTGTTGGTGGTTTTGGTTCAATGTGTTAGTGTATTTTGAATAAATTGTAATAGAAATGGTAGAAATTGTAATAGAGATGAAAGAAATTGTAAAAGATAAGAGCAAACGCCAAAAAACAGGTGATCTCAGCTGTAGGCATTTTTTGACAATCAGCTGATACGTGTTTTTACTTAGGAAACTGTACGATAGGTAGAACCGCTGAGAGGAATCTTTCAAATTCTTGACGTCTGCAAGTAATTTAATTTTAAAATTTTACACACAAACTCAGACACACATTCTCATTTTCAATCTCAAACAACAACCTTGAAGAATTCCTTTTTTTTTACTCTCAATTTTATATGATTTTAAAATGATATCAAACTTCAAAAAACTCATGGCCGACGAA